AATACCCACGATACAATTCACAGACCATATTAAGCTTAACAAGAAGGAAGGTCAAAGTATGGATGCTTCAAACACACTTAGCAGGAGAAACAAAATAATCACAGGAAGCAGAGGGAGGGAGGGACCTGGGTTGGAGACTGGAGTGGGGGGAAAACAGGATGTCAGGACCAATATGGAAAAAAAACAGTAGAGAAGTTCAGAGGGCCAGAAAAATGAATAGACATAAATAGCAGTGAGAGTTAGGTAACTGGGGAATCACTAGAAAATTCCAGATGCCAGGGATGTAAGTGGCTCCCAGGACCCAATGGGGAAGAAATTAGCTAAAATACCCAACAAGGGGGAGAGAGAAACTGAAGAGACTACCTCCAATAGGTAGACATGTCTCCCAGTAGTAAGATGGTGCCACCCACCCATCTCAAAATTTTTAATCCAGAATTATCCTTGTCTGTCATGGTGTAAATTATGCTTAGCCCAGAGAGAGGCACTATTTGGAGGTGTGGCCTTGTTGAAGTAGGTGTTTCACTGTAGGTATGGGCCTTAATACCCTCATCCTAGCAGCCTGGAAGTTAATATTATTCTAGAAGTCTTTAGATGAAGATGTAAACTCTCGGCTCCTCCTGTACCATGTTCCTGCCTTGATGATTCTAGACTGAACCTCTTAACCCATATGCCAGCTCCAGTTAAATGTTGTCCTTTATAAGACTTGCCTTGGTTATGGTCTCTCTACACAGCAGTAAAACCCTAACTAAGGCACAGTCTAAATGAAATGCAGGTACCAAAATGGAGCAGAGGAAATGCCATCCAGAGACTGCCCCACCATGTGATCCATTCTATCGCCAGATACCAAACTCTGATACTATTTCTCATGCCAAGATGTGCTTGCAGAAAGGAGGCTGGTATGTACGTCCACTGAGAGTCTCTGCCAGCACCTGACTAAAGCAGATGTAGATACTGATAGTCAACCATTGGACTGAGTCTGTGGGTCCCAATGGAAGAGTTAGGTTAAGTCCTGAAGGACCTGAAGGATATTTCAACCCTATAGGAAGAACAATAGTATCAAATAACCAGACCTCTCAGAACTCCCTTGGACTAAACCACCAACCAAAGAGTGTACATGAATTGGTCATGGCTCCAGCTACATATGTAGCTTATCTGATGTACCTTATCTGGCATCAGTGGGAGGGGAGCCACTTGGTCCTATGGAGGCTTGATGCCCCAGAAACAGGGGATGCTAGGGGGTAGGGGGGCAGTGGGGGATGGGGGGGATCACCCACGTAGAGGCAAAGAGGAAGGGGATAGGATGGGAAATTCATGGAAGGGAAACTGGGAGAAGGGATAACATTTGAAATGTAAGCAAATAAAATGATTAATAAATAAATTAATTAATTTAAAAATTGGGCTTCTAAACTGCCAACACTATCTAGAAGAAAGGATAAAAAAATAAGAGTGAGGTGTGCCAAAAAATGTTACAAGACATCTGGGTGAAACAATTGATATTAAAGATTAGTAGGAAGTCAGATATGATGCTTCTGAGCTTCAAGAAGTAATGTCTATAGAACAGTTCTCTGAAAAGATAGGATGCAGCTTTGACAAGTTTTGTGGAAAACAACTTGTTGGGTAGGAATCACTCCAGACAGGTCTTTGAACAAAGATTAGTGATGCTTGAAGGTAAGTGTCATAGAGATTAATTCCAGACCCAGACCCACTGTTACATTATAAACTTATTAATCACCAACATTGTGCATTGGTAAACTTTATAGGTAAATGAGTATAATTTCACTGCATTTCTGCAATGCAATTGGAAGAGTAAAAAGTAGATCATGAATATGGATACAGACGCATGAATATGAGAAAACTGAGCTGGTATAGCAGTGGACTCTCATCTCTACCATAGATATTATACAGCTTACCTTTCCTTCAGAAAGAAAGTATGCTAAGGGCAGATGTCCTTAAGGGAGCAGGAAGTGACCAGAGGGTAAGGTAGGTCAAATTTATAGATTTGTGGGATGTGAAAGTCTTCAGGAGTGCACCTTGTTCATTTTGTCCTAGATGTAATCAGGAAAAAGGCCTGATAAAATGTCAGTGATTGCAGCCATCCCAAAGCCATAATTAGAAGACAATCTGAGGTGAAAGAGTAGGGTAGATGAGAACTGGCTTGTTTCGCATTTACCCTTGGCCCCTCAAAGCAGTATGAGTTGCTACCATCCAGCTTGCAGAGTGACATGGTAGATATGCAGTTAGGTGAGGAATGCTAATATATCATAGGGAATTATAGTTATATCAATTATTTTTGTCATTGGTATTAAAAAATATCTAACAGAAGTAGGTTGCAAAAGCGAGAGTTAGTTTGTCTTAGATTGGAATAGGACACAGTTTCTAATGACAAGGTAGATTAAGCAATTCTTTTTATTTCCTGAAACAGTCAGATGTGGAGATAGATGAATGTTAGTGCTCATCTTGCTTTGGCCCTTTGGTTCACCCTTGTATCCTTGCTCAAGGAATGGTGCCACATACATTTTGAGTGCATCCTCTTTCCTTAGTTATCTCAGTCAATGTCTTTCAAATGGATTTTCTCCTAGGGTTACATTATCTGTTTATAGGCCCTGTTAGATCAACTATCAATATTAATGTTAACAGATATAACTTTGGCAATTGGACATTCATTCGTAGAACAGTTTTGACTTCATATCCCACTTCTTACCCTCAAAAGGTTCAAGTTAATCTTATGAGGCAAATATATTCAGTACTACTCTAAGGGTTACAATACTCTCTAACAGTTCTGACGCTGTTCAAAATGTAAAACTTGTGAGTTCAGGCAGCAGTGAGATCCTATGAAATAAAAAATAAAAAAAAACAAGATAGAGGCTGCCAGAGAACGTGGGTAAGAAGTAACATTCACAGTCTAACAAGGAGAACTGGGGTCTCTATCGGGGAATGATAGGACCAAACCAAGACTGAAATCCTGTGCCATCTGGAACATTTGACAAAATCAACTGAGTTCAGAAACATTTAGGTAGCTAGCCTATATAGTACCATCTCTGCTGCCTATAACACACAGAAACTCTGTCATAGCTGACTCTCCTCTATGTTTGATACTTTCCAAGCAGATTTTCCATGGACCTCATATCTCTGACACTATTGGTATTGTCCTACTCTTAGGCTTTCCTTTTACAATAGCCTTTCAGATACTCCTTAAAGGGACTATGACACTTGTACTCATTGGCATTGTAGAGTTTTGAAGCAAATCTCAATGAGCCATTTAGTCTTTTATTTTGATGCATGCAAACCCAATGCCAAGTTTACCATGCTTCCACATTTTGTGGTAAGCTTCTGGTATAGACTGTAGTCAACAATATCATGGGAGATTCTGGATGAGGCTAAATTAATAATGCATGATAACTGCATTACTGAGAAATAAATAAGTTAGCTCCTCCCATTATTTTGTTGTAACCCAAATCATTCATAATAGGAAAAAATAAAACAATGAGATCTTTATATGCTATGATACAGCCTCCTAGTTTTTTGTAGATTCCCTTAGGGCACTGGTATTCAAACTTCCAAATACTGTGACTATTTAATACAATTTCTCACATTGTGGTGACTCCTAACCACAAAATTATATTTGCTACCGCACCATAACTTTGCTACTTTTATGAATTATAATGTACACATTTGATATACAAGATGTTATTTGTGATATGTGACATCTGTGAAAGGGCCACTCAGCACCTGAACTGAATTGAGACCCACAGACTGTGAACCACACTGCCTTAGATGCTTATTTCTAATACTAACATATATATATATATATATATATATATATATATATATATATATTAACATAATATATATATATTACTAACATACGTACATATATATAATACTAATATTTATATGATCTTCAAATATCCTGCTCACTATCTGTAGTGAATCCATTCATAATAGTAAAGTCTATTTTCACATGTATTTGCAAAATAATCTAAAAGAACAGTAATCATACCAGTTAGAATGTGTAAGAAGAAATAACTCTTGGAAGAAATGGGTAACATGAAATCCATTAGGTTGCTGAAAAATCTGGAGACCAAACTGATTAATTTCCATTGAGTTATTGGATTGGAGAGACTCTTTGAAATCGGTACAATAGATGCATTGTCACTGATTTTGGTGCATGCTAGAAATGAATGATAAGAAGTTACTGTCAATATTATATTTTAATGCTACATGTAATGAGAAAATTGGGCTGAGAATGAATGGGACATTGCATAGTGCTAGCCATCGTTTATCATGCCACATGAGACCTGCCACATCCAAAGATAATAATGCATCACCCAATCCAGTAAGATATAACCGTTGGATCAGTAGTAGTACAACTGTCTTGAGGCCAGCAAACCACTTTTTCATTTGACTTAAGACCATCTCAATACACAGAACCCACGTTTGCTAATATTATATAGGTTAAAAATGTGTTTCTGTGGATGCAATAGTATGCAAAAGGAATGGATTTTGCAGTTGTTCAGTTCAATAAATGTGATATTTTTCTATTTGACTTTGTGTGTTTACCTGTTACTTCCTTTATCTGTCTAGCAAGTAAAGCTCTTTACTGTATTCCACAAATGTTGGTAAAGACTTATAAAAATGTTCAGAATAAACATCTACTCCTATGCTCTGGAAATTCAGGAAGCTGAAAGGAACATATGAGAACCTGAAGAATATAGGGAAAGACTGGGCCATAGCTATTTCCATTTGAATATAAAAATTCAATCTATATTTTTGAATGAAAAATGGCTGAGGCTATGTATAATATATCTTGGACACAAGTAACAGGCCAGAAACAAGATAGCCACTGAAGATATATTTATGTCTGTGGTCACGGATACTACGCTGCATTTCTTGACCCTAACAGGGAAGGTCATAGAATCATCAATTGTAGTTCAAGTGTCACTTCCTTCTGCCCTCTAGCAGGATGTACTCCACTATATAGGAGGTGGAAAGTTAAGAGAAGGAACAACTTTGGGGATGCAGATTTCCTGAATCAGTCGACAAGGTGGGGTATGACTTCTCAGAGATGCTATTGTCTTTGACTCAAATATTTTCCTGTAAGTAACTCTTCATTTAAATTCCTCTATAGATGTTTAAATATTATGTTTTATTATGTTATTTATTATGTAAATATTATGGAAGTTTACTTGTTGCTGTTATTGTTGCCCTATCTGGGATAACTGGACATTTGTTCTTACCTAACAAAGGAAAGCTAAGCCACATAGATTTTGGATATATGTTTTACTCATTTGCTCTAGAAATAAAATAAACTCTGGGATTAGTGGTTTTCAAAGGATTAGTAATCTTAGCATAGAGACATGTAGTTATATCCAGAGATATTTTGTCTTGTCTTAATTGATATGACATACAAAGTAGTGATGGGGATAGGGGAGCTTTAGCTATGTCAGGGATTTGTCTTTGTACTACACAAACAAGGCATATTCAAAACAAAAAAAATGATGCATGTCAAAAAGGTGAAAACTGCAGACATAGAGATAAGATGAAATGAGAGCAGTACATACTATGGGTCAAACTAGTAACAACTTAGGAAAGGAAGGAAGGAACATATTCTGCTTCTGAGTTCTTGCCTACGAATTCTTTGACTTGAATGAATGCAATGAAATTGTCACTCCTTTAGAGAAATGTGTACAATCATTGCATATGTGGGTAATATAGAACTTTAACAATTATATTCAAGTAAAATAAAGGTGTAAAACTTCCCCACTACTGCTAACTTGCTTCTATTTTCTTAGTAATATTTCAAGAAAAAAATGAATTAGTAACAACAGTAAATTTGACTTTATGAAGAAGAATACCAAAATGATGAGTCTTCTTTCTTTCTTCTAGGACTATGAAAATCCTTCAATTCACTAATGAATGGAGTGTACATATACATAATTTAATATATATGCATATCACAAATAAAATAAATTTAAATATGCAGGAGTATTTTCAAAGATATATTAGCAATATAAGTTATTTGACAGTATTTTTTTCAAATAAAATTAGTGCTCATTTACATTTTACACAGTTTTTTTGGCATATTTAGATATTTTAAGTAATTGTGTGTAGATGTTTGCCATGCATTCCTCCTACCAATTTTATAAATTTGTGTTAGACACTACCACTAATATTAACCAAAATTCTACTGAAATATAGATCCCTGAGAGTCACATTTTATTACATGTTTTGTGCCAGACATGTGTCCATAAAGGTAAGTAGCTTTTTAATTTGATGAACACATGACATGTCATCCTGTTGCAAACTATGGATGTGTTCCAGTTCTGCTTTGTTTTTCTTCATGTAAAGCACGCATGAAAAGAAAGTTGATAAAGCCTACACTTATCATTGCAAAATCATTTAAAGGCATGTGCTATATAGACGAGAGAAAGTAGATAAAATCAAATTTTATCTACTTGGAGTCAGTGACAGGTCATCATGGACAATGAGTTGGTCTTTACATAGATATACAACAACTCTTGGCAACAAAGATCATCAGATAATGTACAAAATCCTCAGTGTGGGTATCTTGCATTCTGAAAATACTAATAATGGTACTATAAAAATTATACATGCTGCACATACAGCATACATATTCTTTATGTTTTCATTATATATAGTTCTGTTGCCAAACCAATTCATAGGCTTATTGCAAGCATCAAAATGAGAAAAATGTCTGAAACTTTTTGCAAAGAAATTAATGTTCAAAATAAAAAAGACACGATATTTAAAGCTGAGTTTATAATTCTAGGCTGTGGCATCATGTTTATGAGAATGTTCCCTTAATCCTCAATATTAATAAAAAGAAAAAAATTTATTTTCACGAATAATGAAAATAAATCAAACTTATCCATATTGCGTTTGTCAGATTAGAGACAAATATGCTAATATAAACACTGAGTTACAAGTACACATTTTTGACTGTCTTAGTCCTGAAAACCAAGAGAAATCTTCAGGATATTAAATAATCTGAAGAATTTGATTTGATCATGTGACTTGACTTATGTTAAGCTGCAAATGTTAGGAATAAATAGAAACATGTTTAGAAATAACAATAAAATTTCAAGATCTTAGTCACATTTCAAAATATAATTCTGTTCAAATACATTTACTAATCTAAATTTGCTTAGTGTAAGGTGCTCATTTCTCAACAATCTAAAATGAGTAAATTCTGTAAAAGAGGCCACTGTGATGAGGCTTCCATGAACAGAGTGACTGTTGGTAACCTCAGAGAAGGAGATCTGAGTGGCCTCTCTTCTGTTTTAGCAAGGGCATCATCGCTCCTGTTCCTGGTGTCCTACCTGCTTTTGTGGGAGAATGTATACTCTACATCCACCTGTGCTGAGAGGAATGCCACCATCCAGGACTCCTTAGAGAAACTTCTTCAATTGACAACATTTATATCTCACGTAGTCAGTAGTGAAACTGCAAAACTCTTAACTGAATTTGTAAGTACCACTCTGACTCATGGCTTCTTTCTAAAATGGCTCTCATGCAACTCGTTGAGATGCAGTACAGCCTGAATAGGCAAGCATCATGACCCAAATGTTAAAGAATGCAGTATCATAAGGGGGAGAAATCAACAGCCATTAAACTCTTTAACAGGATAAAAGGACATTTTCAAGTAATGTTATTTCCTAAAATCATATAGTTTCAATATTTTTCTATTTCTGAAGTCTATTTTATTTAAGCTATGAAATTATGGCAAAGAACAGGGTGTGATTATTGCTACTATTATACAACAGTGGACATTTGAGAGTGTGAGTCAAATCTACATAACACAACACATACACTTCTAACACTTGTTTGACACAGTTGTTTCTCTCATTCCTGTTTCTTAATGTGCTGCTTTGAATATTTGAAACTACCATAAGTATCCTTTCAAACTATCAAAAAGTTTACCCACAACAGTTTAACATAATTATTTTAAAAATAAATCCATTGTAGCAAATTAATGAGCACATTGATAAGTCAAAAGTGAAAATGCTAGTTTTCTCTCTTAGTTAGCTTTTGGTGTATTACTTCCAATATTACTATTTCAAGGTTTATATGTCTTGGAACAATTAGTGTAATAATACTCCAAATTCATTATGACCTTGGTTAGTGACAGTTGTATATGTATAAAAGTATTTTGATGAAAGTTATAATATTAAGATGTCTAACAAACCAAGTTAAAGAATATACATACTTATTTACTATGGAATTTGCCTCAAATGCTACACAAAGATCATACAACACTTAGTAGTTTGTATTTTGGCTAGTTTTGGTGCTAGTTTGTAAAATATTAGGAAGTCTGAGAATAATAAGCATGGAAGGAAGTTGGGATATTTGAGGGTTAGCTGGGTGGGGAAAATGAGTTTTAAAACTGTCAAGTTTTAAAATGTAGATAAAAGAGTTGATACCCTAATATATTATTTTCAATTTTATCAATAACAATATTTTTATGGGATTTTAATATATGAATGTTGCATCTATGAGAGTAGCGCCATTCTCTCTCTCTCTCTCTCTCTCTCTCTCTCTCTCTCTCTCTCTCTCTCTCTCAGCTCTCAGCTCTCAGCTCTTCCATTATCCTTCCATCCCAAATTCATGGTCTTCATGGTCATGATTTGGTTTTATTGCTGGTGTGTGTGTGTGTGTGTATGTGTTGTGTCTATGTGTATATATACATATTTACCTATGATTATCTGCATTTTTCCATGGCTGACTACATAGGTTTATACAACCTGTATGAGCTATCCTAAGAAGCAATCAGTTTTGGTCTTTCAGCAGCAGTGGAACCCTTTAGCTCTTCATCTAAGGATAGGACTCTATGGGATTTTTCCCATCCACATTGTCAGGCTAATGGCTATTATCATTATGCTGTTCATATTCAGTCAATTATACTGTTGAGAATTCATGGGTTCATGAAGTTTAAATGTCATTTCTAGAGGAAGGCATCTATCACCATATTTCCTGGGACTCTGGGTTTTTACAAGATTTCTAAAACCTTCCCCTTTTACACTCTTAGCTTTAAGGGTTGCATTGAAGATATACATTTGGTGTTGGTAAACTCAAAGCATTCATTCTCTACATTTTGGCCATTTGTGTACCTCTATAATGGTTTCCATCTGCTTCTAGAAGTGCCTTTTTTAAGTGAGAGTTACACTTATCTGTGAGTATAAGGATAGTTATTTATGATATAGTTATGAATGTGTTGAATTAAGAACTGACAGTGTTGGGTTCTATGATCTCTCCATCTACAGATAGTGGTAACGTTTATATTACCATGTGTTGATTCCCTTCTGTTGAATTAAATAACTATCAAGTGCATCAGAATTCTGATCATTGGGGCATTCATATCATTTCCAGCCTCTAACTAATTTACTATTTCATCATTTCTAGAATAATCAGTATGCCCACGGAAAGAGATACAATGAAAGAATTCCTGGAACTTGTCACACTGCTTTATTTGATACTCCAGTAAACAAGGAACAATCTCTAGGAAGTAATGTAAGTGTTTGTTCATTATACTTCTTCACCAGAATGTGTGAAGAAATAAAGCATGTCTACATATAGTGAAGGTGGTCAAAGACACCACCATGGGTATGTTATCAGCAATAAAGAAGTCATACTGCATGGTTAATAAAAGTGAAATCTGCCAAGTCATGTTTTAGATGATTCATAATGTACATAGAGAAAATTTTTTTTTACCAATGTTAACCCTTGATCTTTTATAGGAAATTTTCAATTGACATAACCATTCATAATCAAATATTCATTTATGTTAGTTAAGCAGTGCACATATAGATGTATTTATCATGGTTACTAATGGACTCCCACGTTGGCAGCATAGTGCATACTGACCTATTCATTCATGACTGTTAAGTAGTTTGTGGTCCTACCGGTTTCTTTTACTAATTGTTTATTCCTGACTGACCATTCTTTGTTTACTTTATAAATGAAAGCCACCTGAGAAAACAGTCCAATGGACATTGTACTATGTTCCTAAGATACAATCATCCTATCTGTATGATGAAAACTATATATAATGTCACTTCAAATCTATAACGGTTATGATCTCTCATATGTGATTCCTTGCCATAACTCATTTCAGGATTGAGTTGAATATTATCATATAGGCCTATACATTCATATAATACCATTCATTTTATATATTTTCTTTAATGTCACATGTACTCTGTGGGTCTTTGATTGTCATTGAAATAATAACAATATAAATGAATGAAAATAATGGAAGAATAACAGTGAGTGAACAAGGAGTCTCATTTAGTAAGAAAGATTAATTCACTAGAAGCTTCATAGAATAATATATTGGCAGTTCTGAGTTAAATTTTCAGTTAAATTTCATAAAATGTCAGTGGCTACCCTTTTACTTATACAACTTGTACCATCTATAAAATAATATGAATAGCTACAGAAATTTTATTGTCTTGAGGAAGATCCCTTTGTATCTAATCCTATTGCAGTTCATTTATTCTAATATGGTTGTTAAATTATCATTACTTAGCCAAAAACACTACTGAAATTTGTACACAGTCTATTGAATTCATGGACCAATGCTCTGAATCATCTTGTGAATGAAATGTCTGCAATGCAAGGAGACCCTTCCTCTCTTATCTCCAAAGCTAGAGAGATTCAAGCAAAATTTCATGAAATCACAACAGGTGTTCAAACAACTCTCAGCATGGTAAGCAGTCTGGTGATAGTTCTTAGCTTTTTTCATGCTTAAATGTGATCCAATGGCATACATATGTATTTAAATGTTTTATTTGAAAAACAATGATTTAAAAACGTTGGTCATACATATCCTAACAGAAAACCACAACCGGTCGAAGTGCATCATGAAGGCCAGTCCCAGTGGATACAACTACGAAACATTTCTACATCTAAGGCACAGGGAGCGCTGCAGAGGAGAGAGAGAGGAACAGTTTCAGAACCAGAGAATCAGGGCATTTGCTTTAACAATATGACTCCTAGGAATGTCAGATTGGTCACCCATAGAGTCTCACCAACATGAATTCCTAAAATACAACATGAACAAAGCCAACACCATTAGACGTGCCAAACTGGACAGTGCATGTGAAGGAGGTTTATGAGAAACTAAACTAAGTTCTATCCAAAAGGCTACAGGCAACATAGGAATGTTTATAGTAAGAGAAAAAGGTTTTTCAAAGGAAAAGTCCATCAACTTGTTTTTTAAAATCCAAATGGCCAGCCCTGAAAACACACATACAAGTAAAATTTTACAGACTGATCAGGCTATACTTAGGACTAAATGTGTAAATGCATATAAATATTTGCAGGTAATAATAATTACAAAAGACGTCATGCATTTTCAAATGTGGGTATACTGGAGAACAGAATAGAAGGAAGAAAGGGAAGGAAGAAATCATATAATTATGTCAAAAACAAAAAGGATAGATACCTAGCTACTTTAGCAGACCTTACCTCAGTCATCTATTGATTATTTCTCTTAATTCACCCATAGCAATCCTCATTTGCTCTAGGATTTTTGTACACACATTATTTTGAGACCTGATTTGGTTGAAAGTAAGAGGGAAATTTGATTTAATGTCAAATTTATGAAGTACAAAAATCAAGACTGGGTCTATGCTGAAGATAGACAAAGTTTGTTCAATAATTAAAATGAAAGCATTTCCTTCATGTTCCCAGTGGTATATCCATGTTTATAAAGTAGGCACTTTCTGCTTAGCTGTCCATCAACTGCTGCAAGAAATTTCACATGTGCTAGAAGATGTATTTATTACAGGTATACTGAAGCATATCAATGGAAATCCATATTTACTTTATAATTCTGAAAATATAAATATTTTTACAAGTCTATAGTCAATATTTATAAAAGTAAGCATTTAAAGTATAATTAATAATTGGCTGACTATCCTTCTGCTGATCATGTTCAGATTGGAGAGAGAGATAATGAGACTTACCTTGCCTGGTCTGGACTGTCATCTTTGCAGTCAAGCAATGAAGATGTTCGCTGTTTTTCTTTTCATACCATGATCCGCTGCCTTCTCAGAGACTCTCGAAAAATAAATACTTATCTTGAGGTCATCAAGTACAAAATGGTTGATCAAAACAACTGTTAATGCCAAATTTATATAATCTGCTTCTGAGATGTGCCTTTATAAGACACTACAGTAAAGCTTCCTTTTAATTTCTCTTTCATCTTTAAAAAATAAAAATTATTTGGAAGTACTAAAGTCTTAGTCAATTACTTCAAATTTCTGTTGTTGGTTCATGCAAAATATATTCATATCATTGACATCTTCCAGTCAAAATGTTTTATAAATAATATAAACAAAACCATCTAACACACAAATAATTATTAGAAACAAAAATATTAGTTATACAGAATATGAATTCTATCAAAACCATCTGAATTTGGATATATATTTTGAAAGCTAGTCAATATTTATCAGACTCTTTGCAGGTCACCGACTGACAATACAGGTAGTATGCAATTGCACTATCCATAACTATTGTGAAAAATTACAGTGATCTGAAGTGTGTTAGAACTCATATGTAATATGGTGTTGAAGAGATTCAAGGATCTTGAACCATGTTGCTTGGAATTTTTGCCTCCTTAGCATCATCTTAGCCAAATTCTAGATGTTCCATTCCTTCTGAGTAAAACAAGGCTTTTCCAGACTTCTATCAACTTTGTTTATTAGTGACATTGTTTAGTAATTTGCTCTTATTTTCTGGTAGTTGAAAAAAGATAGCAGGGAAGGCAGAGATGAATATACCTAAAAGAATTTCATCTCCTTTCTTCTGGATTTATATCCCTTTGCATTTTTTCAGACTTAGCATTTAGAATACAGGAAAATCATACCATTATTGACGTATGGCACAGTAGCATAGAAATTTTTCTGATTAAGACTCAAAGTGTATTGCTTATAAATAGTAAATTACTCTCTTGGGGTTCACTAGTGGTTGACTAAAAGATTGTCATTTTATTATAGAGCATGATACACATGAGTTTTGAAAGGTAATATTTCTTCCATGAGACAAAAAATTAGTCCACTCTAGACCCCAAAACTCTGTCTAGACTCAGAAATAAAAACCAACATGGTAATATAGCTTATTAGGTTGTGGGATTGTGGACTAGTAGAAAAGAAACAACTCAGGAATACATTTCATTATCATCAAGCCTCTTTAAAAGAAATGTAGACAATTCAAAGGGCAAATAAGTGAAAGATATTGGAAGTCCAGGATATTAGTGAGTAACTAATTTGTAAAGGAATAAATCCAAGAGACTTAGCAATTTGAGATTAGAACAAAGGACAGGTAAATAAAGGAGAAGGTAGGAAGGTTTTATGCAAAGACAGCTCAATATATTTGCTCTTAATTATTGCCTAAAGAGGCAGTTTATTAAAGAAGTCTATGAACACAGACAGTGGTAATATACTGCTGAATTCTTGTACACTGCTGGAATCTACCAAATATTTAAGCAGAACTAACACTAATGTTTCCTTAACTCTCTCATAAAATACAAAGGTGAGCTTCACTTTAAAACTCATTTTACTAATCCATCATTATCCAGATACCAAAACAGAAAAGCATTTAACTAGCAAATTAGATGATTTCTAAATAAAATTAAACAACAGTGTATAAAGACTAATGGACCCGATCAAGTGATTGTCATTATAAGTGTGCAATGATTGTGCAACAAATAGGAACAAATAATGAAATGCAATTAGCAAATTGATACAAAGACATAAATCACAGGGGCATCTCACAGTACCATTATAGGCTTTAGGTAATATTCAACATCTTTTTATAATAAACACCCAGAAACCAAAAAATAGAATGAAGGTACTTCAAAATAATAACAGCAATACATGACAAATCTACAGTCAACCTTAAAGTAAATGGGAAGAAAATGAGAATGATTCTTCTAAAATGAAGGAAAGGATAAAAACATTTATTTTCTCACTCTTAATCAAGAAGGTGCTCAAAGTATCTTGTGCCAGTCTTATGAGGAAGCTTGAAATACACAGACATACATTCTCTCCTTCTCTCTCTCTCTCTCTCTCTCTCTCTCTCTCTCTCTCTCTCTCTCTCTCTCTCACACACACACACACACACACACACACACACACACACACACACATCTATTATATATATATATGTGGGTACATATGTTTGTAAAAACACACATTTGAAAGCTTACAGAGTAGTAGCATTCCTTACAACTTCTCTGTAATGTCTTTAATGTCATTTACCCCTCCACATATACTGTACTCTCCACTGTTCTTCTGACATCCACCCCAATTTAACTTTTCCTGTTCTGTAATTCCACTTTAAATTCTTATGTTACTACATTCCTTTAAAACCCTCCCTACCCCTGTCCCCTTATTAGCTTCTTGACCTCTGACGGTATTAGGAACACTGCTATTTTTCTTATGACTATAATCTTAACTGAATGTAGGTATGACATTCACATATTATTGATCTGATCTGTCAGGTTAAAATGGTCATCAGGGTCTCTAGTAATTCCTTATAAATGTTAAGATTGCATATTCCAGTAGTGGGAAAATGTCACTGATATTTTGGAGCAAATTATTTTAATCTATAGATTTTTGGTAATATATCCATGCTCACAATACTAATTTTGTCATTAATTCAGCTTGGAAGTTCTATATATCATGGAGGATCTCTTTCAACATATTCCTTCACGGTTTTAAAGTTCTCAATATAGAAGTCTTTGACTTCTTAAGTTATATCTAAGTATGATGGTTTATTTTTTGAATGACATTGTGCGTAGTATTTTTCCTCATATTTTCTGGTGAAAGTAATTTTTGGTATGTAAAAAGCTTACTGAATTTTTTCCCTCCATATTTCTATTTTCTCAAACTGTTGATAGATAGAATGGTCTTCTGGTTGGGTTGTTAAATAATAAAATCATGTAATCTATAATATGAATAATCAGAATACTCCCTTTACTGCAATCTTTTGTTTTATACTTCTAGTAAAGACTTCAAGCAAGATATTGAGTTAGAATGGAAGTAGGAGAATGGACAGTCTTTGAATTTAAAACAATATTATTTCCCAATAAGTGCAATGATGGCTTTAAATATGCCATAGTTAGCCTTCATTATTTGTATTTATTACAGTATTATAAGGCATTTGTCATTAAGGAATAGTGATATATGTACAAGGCCTTTGACATTTATTGAGATAGTGGCCTTAATTATTTGTGTTTATTTCAATTTTAACAGGCATTTATCATGAAGGAATAGTGATACATGTAAAAGGCCTTCTGACCTTTATTGAGATAATACTGTGATTTGTGTCACTTTGTTACTACCTGTTCTCACTCTCTATTGATTTGGGTTTTGTGAGTGGTCTTTATATCCTTTACATGAAAATACCTTCATCATGGCCAACAATCATCTTAAATTCTGCATATATATGTG